ACCATATCAGAGCAGGCTGTTCGTACACTTCAGAAATTCCAAATTGTTCTAATTTTGACCTATCTCGGCAGAGGTCACATGCCCTTAGGGTGACTTGCTGTATGTTCTCTAGGAAGGTAGTGATGCTGTATGACAGTGCAGTATGTTTTGCTTGTCCAACGAGGGCCTGGTCTTTCAGACAGTGTGACTTGGCAATCGTGGGTGGATGATGGTCAGGCCTCTTGCTAACAGGATAATTATCTTTAATATCGAGAAATTAAGAGTAACTTTTCATGTGATTCCGTTTTTTACTGTGCGATTGTTTTCCGAATCCTTCCAACTTACGGAAACAATTTCGCTCGATTCCTTAGCCTAACGAGTAACCCTTTTTTTCGAATCCGTACGCGCTATACTTATAGCAGGGCAATCTGTAGGGAAAATATACTTGGCCCCCGTCCCCTTCCGGAATTTCCTGGGGCTTAGCAAGAGGCCTGATGATGGTTGGCTATTCTGCTGATTATTGGGTTGCGTGTACTGGACACGTGGGTTTTTGTTGTAACCGGTGCCCCTATATGTAGTATTTCTTTTCTTGTCGCTGTTTGTGTGCTGGATAATACTCACATAACCAACGTCAAGTTGAGTCATTTGGCGAAATTCGCTCAGCACTTGTGGGTCCCCTCAGCGATATGGGGGTAACATTGCTGGAGACACTGGAGCCGATATGTTGCCCCACAAATATTTGCGATACGTGCCGATTTCCCCAATAATGTCGGCCCGCGTCACCAGCTTTTCGAGTTTCAGTCCCGCGCCAAGGGATTCAAAAGGAGAACAGGTGTATCAAGTTTCTGCTCATTTCAGAAAAAAAAATGCCATATACAGTAGCCATTTTGTATGGAGCGAGTCTGCCAGCTAGGCAGTGATGGACGAAGTGGACGTCATCTTCTGTTTCTTGGTCCTCTCAACTCAAACTCCCACATCATATAGGGAAATGATAAAAAAGGGTCCTCCCTTCGCTAGAGGCGTGAGCAAAAAAGGTCCGGCAGCTTTTTGCCACGAGACCTCGTCTCCGAGCCTGTACTACACTTCATTCGTGATACAATACGCACACATCACAGGGTTACAAATTTGCAGGTTCATGGGTGCGCTTAGTGTCGTAACCCTGTGGTGGGACCTTCATACGAATGCAATGTACTCTATTAGGGCACAAAAAAAAAACAACTAAAACCCATAGGGGCACCGCATGCGACTCGGGGTGGCATCTATCCTCAACTCGCAAAAGGGCCGCGTGTTTAGGGTTGATGCCATCCGGGACGGAATTCCGTCCCCATTGGATTTAACCTCTTTTTTTTCCCCCGTTGAGAAATGTTGAATGGTACCGCAAACGTCCCATAAATGTTTAAAGTACTAAACAAAGAAAGAAGTGTATTTCAGGTTCAGAGGCGATGTCCCTAGAGCATAAAATTGCCAGACCTTTTTTGCTCACGCCTATGGCAAAGCGAGGACCCCTTTTTATGATTTCCCCATCATATTGGCAGACTTGCAATAATAAATCTCACGGCGGCCAACATCTACACCCCAAATCTCGTTTGCCTTAAATTACGTAGCATAAAAAAACAGATACAGTCATTGCCCAGATCGACTTCTTATCACATTGTAAAATGGAATTTCACATTGCTCTGGACCAAATATGGCTTACTGTGGGAAAAGGCACAGACGAGAAGGGGTTGAGACAGCCCATTTGAACTGTCTCAGGGTCTCCAAACGAACTTCAATACATCCTACAGCATCACCTGAACATCTCTGAGTTCTCAAAGGAAACAGGGAACTCCTCACATGCTCACGACGGTACAGGAACAACATTCGGTTCAGTGCGCAGGTCTTTTTGGCTTCTACGCCCCCTTCCAGTGTTTTAGTGCTCGGGAAATACCCTTGGCGGTCGGTTCCACTCGAAGTTAGCTACAATCACATTCCGCCAAAGAACAAACGTCGCCTTGACATACACGCTTGATTCTAACTATGTTCTAAGTGTACAGCCCCTATCGATATTTGTTTCCCAGGCTTTTTTCCATTGAGAGAAGCATTCTCTAAGCTCGTGAACATTGTTCATGAACAGAATCCGAACCGAATGTTTGCTTCTACCACGCGTGTATTAATATACAGCGCAGTTGATCACATCATATCGCTTTCAACAGTTTTGACAGGTCGGCCATGAGGTGCATCATAAAGGCGGGTCCAAATAATTTATACTCTATTCATTTCGAGAAAAGTAACCCTATTTTAATCTCGTTTGGATTTCGCGGGGACACGAGCACGAAATTAACTCGGGACGCTCGACGCATGTGAATGCACATGATTTGTTTACGATTCGGTGAAGTTAGGTTTACGTTTTGGTGACGTTAGGTTTACGTTTTGGTGACGTTAGGTTTACGTTTTGGTGACGTTAGGTTTACGTTTTGGTATCGGTGGACACGTGTGGCGCTTTGGGGATTCGCCAAGCCAGGCTTGCCGAGAACAAGGCGACCTCGCGAACATCTCGCGTGGCGCAACGCCAAATCACACCTGCCACTTAACCCAGCACGAAACATCTGTTTCGTTGCGACATGTGGTAACTGCTATTTGGGGCGTCTGACGCAAACCGTTTTTTTGGTACGCACCTAGTTGGCACCAGCTTCAGTTTCATTCGCAATATGAGACGTGGTTGGGGGAGGAAACGATTTTGGGATCGTTTTCAATTGTCGTACCCGAGTTCGTAAAAACTTGTCCAGAACCCCCAATTGAATTATTTGGACATTCCCTAAGAATGTTCCACACCCTAATCCGGGAAAACAATTTACCACCGGAAATTGGCAACCCTGGATTTGTCAGGATGCGAAAACAATGTGGCAGGAAGGTTTGTACAGTATTGTTTGTGCCCCCTTGGATTTAATAAAGGCAGAGACACGCGACGCGAAGCCAGGAACACGTAGTTTGCGAATCGCGTGGCAAGGATTTGGTCAGGGTGGAACTTGGACTGGGATGAGAGGGACTGACTCAAGCAGAACAGGTGGTTTGCATGGGTAAAATTCTGTTTTGACTGATTTTAAAGGTAAATTTTGGCTATACTCTGTAGTTCAAAGAGTTTGGTGAAAATCCACCCGTAAAATTCAGTTTTGACTGATTTTAAAGGTATTTTTTGGCTATACTCTGTAGTTCAAAGTGTTCGGTGAAAATTCACCCGTTTGTCATTTCACATCCGTCATTTTTCCCCAAGCTGTGGCTTTTTTTCTCTTCTTCTTCCCTCCCCCTCGCCCCTCAGCCCCTCGTCTTACTGGTGCGTATTCATAAAGGACGCAATTTTTCCAACCTCGAATCCCCCTCAAGAGACAAAGTTTGTCTAGATTTCTGTAATACATAAACATTAATAGAGCAGAATCATCCAATTTTGTGATGTTAAAGGATATATTTAGGGAGCCTTCGGAATGGATTGAGTCGTGGGGGATTTTCGGAGGAACAGGATTCAGCGGGAGGCCCATCCCCGACAACGCCGCCACGGAACCTCCCACTCCACCCCCACCCACCCCCTTCCCCCTCTTTTTCTTTCTTTCCTCTGCAGTCCGCCCTCCCTTTCCCGAACCTCCCCCGCCCCCCTCCCGCCCCCAAATCACATTTTGCTTCCCATCTGAACAGGGCTGAGCAGATGGGCTGTCCCTTCACTTCATTGGTGACCGTCCCTAGGCTCTTGTATTACATGCCTAGGTAGGAGAAGGGAGTTGTCCGCAGTCTACATTGATCTAGATGCTCGTCAATAATGCTTAACTCACCGAGTAAGTCTTTGCTATGAACTCTGCCCGAGACACTTTAATCGGAATCCTGAGGAAATCGAAATCGACGACCCTGAAACTCGGACGAAATAGTGTAAACCGAGGGGGGGATTCCAAAAGAGCGTTCCCATATCCACTGCGTTTGTCTGCTCTGCAGCATGCGGAAAGCGTGCATGTCGTATGCACACTGCTTTGGCTTTGTCAGCTTCGCCCAATTGCAAAATAAAATAGTCAAAGCAGCCGATTCGTCCAATGCTAGTTGGCTTGCACTTCAGATCCCGAATGATCCGCCCTTGGAATTGCATTCCACCCAGAGCCCATTGTTTAGAAGAGCATACAATTGTACAGTATTGAACTGGTGGCATCGGAAATGGGAGAAACAGCTGTTGCATTCTGATCGACACCCCCGAACTGGAATGAACTTTTCATTGTACAGAGCCTCGAGCTTCCTGCATTCAGGGCTCTGGCTAAAAGGGTAATTACCCTTAATGTCACGAAACTAAGAGTTGTTTTCGACCTGATTCCGTTTTCGGCGTAGTAAACTTTTCTTGATTCCGTCTGCCTATAACGGATGAAATGGCGTGTGATTCCTTGAAATTACGGATTATTTTTCTTTGATTCGTTCACTTGAAGGAGATCTGTTCGTGGTGACCCCCTCCCGCCCTCCCCTCTACCTCAACTAAGCAAAGAGAGGTTGGGTAGTGGGAAATTTTTATACACATCCAACCGCCTGAGGCACAGTATGCGCGAGGAAGAGTTCGTGGGGGTTCGAAGGCTTTTTCTTAGCCCTGGCGAATGCCATTTGTCGTTGAGGATGTTAGTATCAAACCAACAGTAGCACTTCGACAAATCCGCAGTTTAACGGATAGTGTTTCGGCGATTCCGTCCGCTAACGGGTAATTTCGGGGCGGATTCCGTGACCTGACGGAGTACCCGTGGCCTTGGCGAGGGACTTGCCTGAATGATTGTGCTGAAAGTTCTTTCAGGGCGTGTTTTTAGCTGGCGTCATCCGGAAATAATGTCATCTGAGAATGTTGGAAACCCATCGCAACCGTTGAAGTTTTTATATAACGGTTGCGATGGGTTTCCAGCATTCTGGGATGACACTTTTTCGGGATGACAGCTACTCAAAGCATGCTTTCCAGTGCCTGCGATTGTCACTCCCATCGTCGTTTCCCTTGACCCTCCGCTGCTCACACTTTCCCTTCCCATCATTTCTCCCCATCCTCGCTCTCCTAGCTTTGTTGGAGCGTGGTTCCTAGAATTCGATCTGCCGCTAAACTGATCGCATTGCCCATTTTTCACGGTTTCGCGGATTCACGCCGTTCCATTTGCACCAAGTGCGAGTTGTTCTAGCTCGTCCTGGCGAATCCGCTTTGCAAAGACGGCTCTACTCCCTACCGTCACGGTAGTAGTGACTACTAGCGCCACCCGCTCCCCGGGAGTCCTGCCGAAGTAGTTTGAGTCAAACTCTCGCGATGGGCGCGCAGAATGTGGCCGTTCAGAGTCCGGTAGTAGTGCCATCACAATCTCACCTCCCCCAGGAGGCGCCTGCTTTGGACTGGCCGGTTGCCACTCTCCCCCGTCTGCGCACCCGCGGCTGCGCGCGAACTCAATCCCCCGGCGGAACCCGCCCGCAAGCCCGCGAGCGGATCTTGAGTACCAGCGACGCGCTCGGGCTAAGCCCTAGGACTCTCGGCAGCGGAAGGCGGAGATCCTACTCCCCCGCTTCCCCCCAATCCGCGGAAGGATGGGCGGAAACCCTCGCTGGAAGGAGGAGGAAGGAGCTGTACCCCTTGAATTTCCCCTCCAGACGCTCCGCCTCCGCCCTTATTTCCCCGTCCGCCGGCGGAAGTCCGCCACCGAGTTGGCGCCCCGCCGCGCTAACGACGGTGCGCAGCCCGCTCGCGCCAGTGGTCCGCCACAAGGCGACCGCGTCGGTCGACATGGAGCAGCTCTGGGCGGCGGAGGTCAGCTTCGACGAAAGCGGCGGCGGCGGAGAAGCGCCGTCCCCAGGCCGGCGGAGAAACCGCGGCATCATCCGCGGCGGGCACGCGCGGAACCTTTCCTTCTCCGACTTCCGCTCGTTCCGCACCAGCGCGCTGGGAAAAGGCGAAGCTACCGGCGCGGACCCCGGCGCGGATTCCGCGGAGCAGCAGGCGGAGAGCCCGTCAGCTTCCCGACGCCGCGGCGGCGCAGCGGCGCCCTTCTTGCGCATCCTTTCCAGCCGCGGGGGCCGGGATTCGACCTTCGCCGCATCTGCCGCCGCTGCGGTTGCTTCCGTCGCCGCTCCAGCCGCCGTTTTCGCAAGTTGCACGTCTCCCCGGGGGACAGCCGGCGGCGATGACGTGGCGCGATCCGACGGCTTTGATAGCCTCCCTCCGCGCCGTACGATGCGCGACAGCCTTCTCCGCGGGACGGCGGGGCTCGCCGTCTGCGGCGGCGGCGCGGCGGTTCCAGTGAAGTCTCCTCCATGGTGGCGGGGGCGCGGATCGGCGGGACGTGCGGGGATGCTTTCGGAATCGGCGGGGAGAAGCTTCAGTGGAGGCGAGCCTGCGACGGCTGTTCCTTTCGCAGCGCGGGAGGCGGACAAGCGGGAGTCGCAACAGCTGTCGCCACAGTCGCAGCCGCCGTCGCAGCAGTCGCTCGGGCGAAGTCGCAGCTGGGGGCAGCAAGCCGGAGAGGAGATCCTGCTGCGTCTACGCGCTGCCCACGCCCTCGGCGGCGAATCGAATGCCGCGAATGGCGGTAACTTTGACGAGACGGATGGCGAAGGCTCGGCGCGCCACGGAGGCGCTCCGACGACGGCAACGGCAGAGTCGCGGCATCACGAGGCGATGATGGAAGTGGAATTGGAGGAGTATTTCGGCGAAGTTGCGCAGTCGTGGCGAATAGACAGCCTAGACTGCAGCGTGGACGCTCAACTAGAAGCGACCTTTGAGTCCACCCAAAAGACACCTCGTATGGGCGGTTTGGTAGCAACAGCGGAAGCAGTGGCAGCTTCTCTAGTCTCAAGGCCGTCTGGGGAGGCGGAAAGGGGAGGAGCGGGGGGCGAGAGGCAAGCGGAGGGAGTGGAGGGGGAGGGACGAGCGGAGGCGTCATGGCGCATGTGCAGTTTGAGTAGCGGCATGGGGGGCGGGATTTCCTAGCAGGCGGGAGCTAGGAGGTGGCCTACACCGTGTGCGGCTGATGGTGCTCACAGTGTGCCGTCACATGCTGCTGCTGATGATTGTGCCTGCCTGCCTAGGGCCAACGCTGTCAGTGCTGCTGGCGGTGCTCTGCTGCCCTAGACAGCTGTTGTTCCAACAGCCACATTATTCTATCGAGAAGAAGAGAAAGAGGTGGGGGTGGGGGGAAAGTGGGGAGAAGCAGGAGAGAAGGGGGAAAATAGCTGCGAAGCAGGCACCACACTTCGCGAATCAGCTGGTGTTACCACCGAACCGATGCCTCTGACCTTATGCAGCAGACAACCTCGCTTCTTCCTCCACCCCCCTTTCTTCCCCCCCAAGACTCACAAGCTCCTCTCTTCCTTTGCTGGTTCCTTCTCTCGCTCTGGCTTCGGGCACCTCGAAGCGTACGCCGCGCTGGCCCCGTCACTCCACGCTGGCCCCGTCACGCAGCGCTGGCCCCGTCACGCCGCGCCGGCCCCGTCACTCCGCGCTGGCCCCGTCACTCCGCGCTGGCCCCGTCACGCCGCACTGGCCCCGTCACGCCGTGCTGGCCCTGACACGCCGCGCCGGCCCCGTCACTCCGTGCCACGGTGCCGCCGCGCCCCCGCGCCGCCGTGCAGCTGGGTCGTCGTGCCGCCGCGCCGTCGTGCTGCCGTCGCAGCGTCGACGTCCCGCCGCGGCATCGACGCCGCTCTGTGACGGCGCCGTCGGGCTGCAGCCGGCCGCGCGACGCCTGTGGCGCCACTAGACCGGCCGCCCGCGCGCCAGCCACACCCCCCCTCATTCCCCTGCGTCCCCTTATCCTCACCACAGCCGACGTCTGGCGCATGGGGGACCCCATCGCCGCTGAGATTGGCCATGCCGCCGAGAGGGCGGGGACCGCTGCAGTCGCCTCTGGCGTTGAAGCCGCCGCCGCCACCACTGTTGCCGCAGGCCGTTGCCGTCACACGCCGCCGCCACCGCCGCTCTCGTCACTGCCGTGGCTGCCGCCATTGCCATCTCACGGGCCGTGGGGGCTGGCCCCACCGGAGTAGACGTGGCTGATGCTTGGAATGGGGGTGCTAGGTTAGGGGGTGCGGGTGTGTGTGGGCTTGTGACTACCAAGCCTAGGGGGTGTGTTAAATTATATATTGTGTTATATAATTGGTAGGTTTGGTAGGTTATCAAACTCTACTGTAGAGGGTACAATCCCCTCCTTGTATGCCTCTCTCTTCTAGTTCACCCTCTTTCTCGTCAACTTCCTCTCCTAGTTCCTAGCTCCTAAACCCTCACGCCATTTCATGGCCGCCTTCCTTCCTACTCGCTCCTCCTAGCCTAATTATTTTAACACCGCTAACCACTACGCTGAAAGGGCTTGTTAGGGCGTGTCCCCAAAATTTCGTTGACCCGTTTTTGACACACGGAGCCATTTGACGGTACGCAATGTGAATCGATTTTGAAACAAATCCCGATTTGGGAACAGGTCCGAAACAGGCCTGTCGTTATCAGGGTATTTTACCCTGATTCCCTGATTTCACAGGGTATTTTTTTGGCCAACCCTTAATTTTCAGGGTTGGGCTTTTTTTAACCCTAACCTCTTCAGGGTTGAATATCTGTGAACACTTACTGTAAAATTTCAGGGTTTGCATTATCCCAAAACTGAGTTTTCATGGAGTAACGTGTGCGAACCCTGAATGCGACATCCATGCAAACCCTGAGTTTGGCCGAAATGGCCCCCTTACGCGTGACGGGTCCCAGTCCATTGAATACACCCAGCCTGCGTCACGTGGAGAATCTGCACTTGGCATTATTCCCGCCGTGTACACGCTGTATGTTGCCATCGCAGCCACATTTCCAACCGTTAAATGTGGGATGGTGCACTCCGTCTTGCCCCAGCCTGGCATTCGTGACTCAGCACGCAGCAGACGAGGACCGAATATGCTGAGCGCTGCCTCTGTATGACATCACAGCGCCAATCATCCCTATGCAGACGATGCCAGTGCAGGTGCGTCCCCCCATTGACGGTACATGGCGATGCGGGATCCTGGATGGGTTATGCACCGTCCATGAAAATCGAAATCTGGGGTTTCTTGGTCCCCTTCCCATCTTCTTCACGAGCTTCTCCTCCAACCCAGTTTCCTCCCTTTCTTCACATCGCAGATACGAGATGCCCTACTCTTCTTTCTCGTCCAGTTTCGTCGCGACGATTTCTCGAATCGATCATATCCGCCGCTACTAGCCATGGCGGATGTGGGAGAGACTGATGAGTCTCCCGCTGCCGATGATGGTTGTGGACTAGGTAGGGACCCCCCCGTGGAGGTCCGTAGATCCGCTCTAGACATCTTGCGGTCTCCCACCGCGGTTGTTTCACCATCACAACCCGTATCTACTCCCGCTCCCTATGTACCTCCGCCCGCTGTCGCTTCATCTAGCCGGGGCCCTTGGGTTCCAGCCTGCGAGACAGCCACGACCGTGCGTTACACGGTCGAGTGTGCTTCCACGATTTCATCTGGGAAAAAAGCACGCATCGGGAAGTACACCCAGAGCACGATAGTCCTCGGCGGGAAGCTACGTCGACCGTCGCCGCCTCGCACGTCGCCTGAACCTCAGGCCCCTGCTCTTCCAGAACCCGAGCCACCGAAGCTCTCGAAGAAAGAGCTCATCGAGCAGAAGTATCTCATGGCTGAGCACAAGTATAAGACCTACTGGCTTCCATTTTTCCCTTGGCTTCTGCTAACGAAACGAAAGACGGTTACCCTGCGTTGAAGTGCAGTGTGTGTAAGGCTTTCGCCAAAGAGACAACACCGTACTCCAACAGCCGCGACGGGGCACGTGACCTGCAGACGCAAGCGATGCGGTTCCACGAACACACAACAGCCGACGAAGTAGCAGTCAAGCGTCAGATGGAGATCGCCGAAGACATCGCCAGCACCCAGAGGCGCATGGAGAATTACGCGCGGAGTGACATCGAGGGGAAACGCGTCATGAGGCTCCTACGCTGCGTCAACTTCCTGTGCAAGTGTGATGCACCCATCAGCATGTACCCGAGGCTACTCCGCTTCATGGCCGAGCAGGAGACCCCAGACATTCCTCTGTAGTCTTACGGAGTCTACCTGACACGGTAATGCACTGATTCCAAGTACAGCAAATCCTTTTCTTTTTAAATAGGTCTATCAAACGCCCTGTTGCTACTTCTGCTACTACAGGTATGGCTTCTGTCAGCTCGTCAGCAGCTTGGCATCCTACCTGCAGCGCCGACAAATGGAACACATTCTCGCCTCACCCTACCTCGGCATCAGCTGCGACGAGAGCACTGACCGTACTCGCGGTAAACATCTGATTGTTTATCTAACCTTCTTGCGGGCGCATCGTGTTGTCACAAAGTTTTTTGCACTATTGACCGTCGAAAAGTGCGACGCCGCGTCTCTCCTCGCCGTTCTTCTGGCTCACTTGCAAGCAACTGGCATCGACCTCTCCCGAATCACCGGCATGAGCACCGACGGCGCCTCTGTCATTGTCGGCCGAGACAACGGTCTCGTCGTCCGACTTCGCGAGCACATCCCCCATCTCGTCTCTTTGCACTGCATCGCGCACAGGTTTAACCGCTTGCCATTTTAGTCGCTTAGGTTTCCTTTAAGTGCTTGACTAAATTTCCTTCGTGTGCACCATGCAGGGAAGCCTTGGCGGTGAAGGACGCCGCAACTGCTTCTCCAGACTTCGACATGGTCAACCTTGTGATTCGGACTCTGGCCGATCTTCTGGGACGTTCTTGTGTCTGGAGTCAACGCTTCAAGTACCTGCAGCGGGCAATACACAACACCAACCTTGAAGTGCAAGGAATTCACACCGTGTGCTGGCTTTCAAGGGGTGAGGCTGTGCGGCGCCTCTGTAAGGTCCTTGGCGCCGCTATCATTCTCTTTCATGAGTACAGGCATGAGCTGTATGAAGTCGTCTTCTGTTACAAGTTCCAGTTCTGCCTTTTTTTCCTGGCGGACGTGCTTGGAGTGATGAATGAGCTCAACCTCAAATTTCAGAAGAGGGAGGTGAGCTTCTTCCACTGTGCATGTTGCACTTTTTGAACCACGCACGCACGTTTGGAATCACCCTCTCACTCCACTCCCTTGTCCGTCACTTCCACCAGGTCGATGTCACCGAAGTGACAAAGGACATCGACGAGGCGACAGGGGACCTCCGCCACCGCTACCTGGAGTGCGGAGAGGTGTTCGGTGGGGGGGTCGAAGGCACGTGGCTTTCGGCTTTCTTGGCGGTCTACGGGCACGGAAGGAGCAAACGCGTAAAGGTGCGGGGCATCGACAAAGACGGCAACCCAGTCACGCACACCTACACCATGCACGAGAAGCAGATCGACGGGCATGCCTTCCGCAGCAAGTACCCCGATTGCGAGCGGCTCTGCGCGCAGTTCGCGAAGGACACGATGAGCTTCCTGAAGACGAGGATGCTGGACCTGAACACTCTCGCCCCGACGAAGCTCTTCCGCGTGTCGAAGTGGCCCCGGACGAAGCAGCAGAGAGAGAAGAAGCTGAAGGAGTACCTACATGGCTGCAGTGCCCTTTTCGACAACAGGCTGTCACGGTTTTCCTTGCAAGCTGCGCAGAAGGAGCTGGTTACGTGGGCGCCACTGATGCTGAGCCACCATGCCGACGAGGGTTTCCATCAAGGCCTGACGAACTACCTCGGCTCGACGGAGTCGACCTTGTGAGAGACTGCTGTTCGAAGGACGTCTGTTGCAGGTTTTCTTGCCGGTTCTTAACTTCACCTTGGAAGTTGTTGTTTATCGCTTGTTGACTAGTTGCACTAATGCACTGGTCTTGTTCTTTCCCCCAACCCTTTTGGCAGGCGCTGGCCCAATATCATGCGCTTGTGGCAGGCGTGCGCCGTCCTGCCGCTGAGCACAGTGGAGTGTGAACGAGGCTTCTCGCGGCAGAACGTCATCAAATCATGGGTGCGGGGCTCGTTGTGCAATGCGCACCTCAGCGAGCTGATGGTCATTTCCCTGCTGCAGTATGAGATTGACTGGGACAAGGTCCTTGGGTGTTGGCGCGAGAAGCTGAGGCACCCTGCTAAGTCTGTTCTGTTTGCCTCAGCGGAGAGGAAGCGCAAGGCCAAGGCGATTGAGGGGGCAGAAGAGAGGGTGGAGGAGGAGGGAGTCCCCGACTACATGGGGGATTTGGCAGAGGATGAGGGAGAGGAGAAGGTAGAGGGGGGAGAGGCTCCTCCTGAAGTGGAAGACAATCCGTTTCTGTTCGATGACGAGGCAGAGGACGAAGTGAACATGGATGGCCCAGAATTTTAGTTAAGTGTAGCTAGTGGCGTGGAATCTTGTGATGTCTAGACTAGATAGACGACTTCATTGAATTTGTAGACTGACTCTGGCTAGTAACTAGCTGTTCAATCCTAACGTTCTTTTAAACGATTTTTAGCAAGTGCAATGCAACCCTGTTTGTTGCCTGGCAACCCTGGAGGTTTCAGGGTTACATGTTCCAGAACACTGAGAAATCGGGGAAGCCAAAATTTCAACACAAGGCCCTCAGGGTAATTTTTTTTTCCCATTCGACAGCTCAGGGTGCTTTTTTTTTAAACGTCAGCCCTGGTCCGAAATGAAGGGTACAGTTCGAAAGGACAGCACCGAGACCAGCATAGGCATAGGAGCGGGTAACGGGGTCCCTGTCAACTTATACATGCAAATGTATGTATAACACACCCCCTAGGCTAGAATAGGTGTATGTTTTTATAGAGTACAACCCAACCCTATATCTTGCTTGTTCTCTCTTGTTTCTAATTCATTATAGTATTCTAACATGGTATCATGAGTAGGTTGGGTCCCCCCCCAACCGCTTCTGCCCCGCGCCCTAGCCTACCGCGCCTCGCCGGCCCCTAGTGCCTCCGCCGGCCCCTAGCGTGACCGTCGCCCTTTCGCGCCGTAGCCGGTCCCTCGCGCCTAGTCGGCCTCTCGCGCCGTTACTGGCCCCTCGCACCCTAGCCGGCCCCTCGCGCCCTAGCCGGCTCCTCGCACCGACGCTGGCCCCTCGCGCCCTAGCCGGCCCCTCCTCGCACCTAGCCGGCCCTCCCTCGCGCCGTAGCAGGCTCCTCGCACCATCGCTGGCCCCTCGCGCCGTCGCTGGCCCCTCGCGACTAGCCTGGCCTTTGCTGCTGCTGCACTCGCTCGCGCTGTCTGGGATTCTTGCCATTAGTCATGCGCTTCCCCTCTCTGAGCGTCTGC